CAGCCTACTATGGGAAAGAATAAACCAACTTCCAGATGAAGAAAAAACTAGGAAAAGGTGTTGTAAGTGAATAGGACATGCATTACGGAAATCATCAAACTGTATCGCGAGGTAAGCCCTAACTTGGAATCCTGAAGGGAAACGGAAAAGTGGAAGGCCAAAGAACACATTACGTCGGGAAATAGAAGCAGATATGAAAAGGATGAATAACAACTGAAAGGAGCTGGAAAGAATTGCCCAGGATAGTGTTGGATGGCGAGTGCTGATGGGCGGCCTATGCTCTTCGACGAGGAGTGACAGGTTTAAATAAATGTTTACGCTATTTTGACATAATGTTTAACTGATGAAATGATGTTTGATTAGTAGAAGTATCGGGAACGAGCATTTAGTACTATTCGAGACTCAATAGTTGGATATACGTGGGTACTAGTGTTAATATCGGAAGTGGGATAATTGTAACGTTTACTACTTAGATTTTATAACTAACCATTTGAAACACTTATTTCGATTCTTTTTCTACTTACTTTATTAATTTGATCTCATTATGATGTTTCAGTATGATAACTTAGGCTAATGAATATTTCTATCAGGTTTAATGTTGACTATGAATTATTTTAAACAAATACACTAAGTATGTATGAGTGTTCGTCGAACGAAAGACTCCATACTTAAATAATCATACATTGGAAGAACATATTCATTGATCCGCCCTCTAAATTTAAAAAAATACCAAGTTATCTGTGTGATTCATCACCGTTATAGTAAACTGACTTAGTTTGTGATAAATCCTCTTCAGTGACAATGATCACAAAGATTGGATCTATACAATCCCGAGAAGCGGGGTCGTGGATTTGCACTGCTGAGGAGTCCCACAATAGGACGAAACGGCCTTCCAGTGCTTCCAGGTTTTCCATGGTGGTCTAGTTTCAATTGACTCATGATCTCAACTGTTGAAATTACTACAATCTCCATAAAACCCCTTCTGATTTTATTAATCTGCCTTGTATTTACCTAGTTTTCATTTTTTTTGCTAGATAACACGAAATAATAATTTTTTTTAAAAAAAGGTATTTCCATACTCCTCCATGAAGAGTAACAGGCATAAGTAGCTTATTCACTGCAAGTGAAAGTTTCACACACACAAACTGTATCTATTTATCATTAATAACAGAAATAGCTGTTATTACATCATTCAATCATTCTTCGAAAATTCCCAAAGAATCCTGGTTAGAACTTGTCCAGTGGACCAACAAGAAATCGATGGTATATAAGAGGGAGTTGAATGATCTCACAAAAAATGGTCATTTCAAATCAAGGATATCTTATGCTGTAAACTCTTAAAATAAATGAAATATTTTGAGACGTTCAACAGTACAATAATGATTATCGAAACCCTATAAATTACTAAAAGAGCTAAGTAACTACTCATTAACTTCATCATTATTCACTCTCCTAATTAAAAGAACATAAAATTATATGAGAGACAATTTATTGAGAAGCAAAACTTCTGTATTATAGAGTAAATACTGAATTCAGTCTGTAATAATAGAAACACAATTCTAAGATGGTGGGGATTTGTAGCTCAGGTGGATAATTTTGATGGAGTTTTGTTCTGTGAGCTGGATGGTTTGGTCGTGGAGCTTTCATCGTTTTTCTGAACAACATCATCAGCACTCCACGACCAAACCATCCAGCTCACAGAACAAAACTCCATCAAAAACACAATTCTATTGTTGAACTATATGCCATCAGTTAGAAAATAGGAGTAGACTCGAATTTCTCGCCAAACAAGAATAGAATCAGTAAATAGTAAAAATAATAATAATAATAACAAGAAGAAGAAGATACAATATATGTTATATCGAAAGAATCAATTTTAAGAAAGTGAAACTATTAAGATTGTATTACATCAGTTATTCAGCTGAAGTACAAACGTTGTCAAGATTTGACTAGATCAACTAACTGTAATAAAATGGACAAATGTTTTGTATTTCAGATGAAATAAATTGAGTGAAAATGAAACAGATTACTTTAACCCTTGGTGATTATCTTTCTACTTCGGAGAATGACAAACTCTTAACTCGTACATTTGTTAATAATTTATATATGCTTATGTTTATTTTATAACAAAAAAAAAACGATGAGACCTTAATTTACGAATGAATCAATTAGATTTAGGATAACAAGTTTTGGAGCGGAATTCATTCACTCATTCGGTTAAATACCATTTCGGCATTAGAGCTAATGTCAGTTCATAATGAAAACATTAAATCTAATTCCAAACCCTAACCATCAACTGTAAATTCTAATCCTAATTCCTCACACTTGTTTATAACCCTTACTTAACCCTATTAGGTAGTTGGATATCCCAAACGTTAGTTCAGCATTGCTTAAAGGTCATCCAAACATTATAGTCTCATCAAAAAACACTAATTCTGCTGTACAGCATTCTTGTCAATTCAAATGAAGGCTTACGTCTACAGATCATTCTGTTAATTAACTTAATCATCCTTAAAGTTCTATTTATTTACAATTATAAAAAGTCAACTTAAAATACTCTCTGTCTGACCATGTGAATTACATGTTGTCTTAAAACGAACCCATTACTATATTTACTCTACTTTTTCATTGATTTTAAATGCATGTGATTATTGTCGAAGTTCAAGTGTGTATATTATTTTGTATCCGTCACATAACAAACATTACATGTATCTAAACTGACGAATTTCGTGTTATTATTTTCAAAACTACTGTTTTCCAAATTTTAGAGTAATATATGTTGACTTATTTATTTAAATATCAAAAGTAAGACCTCGTCAGAGAAACATGATCTAATTTCATTTCCTATTGAAGACATTTTACCATTTCAGAAATTCATCTCATCAAAAAATTAGAGGACAGGATAGGGTTGTTGACTCCATCCCCGACCCTCCTCCTTTCTCCGGGCTTGGCACTAAACCTAGAAGAGTCACAGGCGGAGAATACTGGTGGGTGGTCTATGCTCCTCCACGAGGGGTAACAGGAGTAAGATTGTGAAACTTACTAAAATAAATAATGATTAAAAACTTCTGTTGAATTCTGACTAGTGTTTACTATACTCATATAGATATTTATGCATAATGTACAAAATGCTAACTTTTATAAATTGTCATTACGAAGTTAAAAGAGTGCTACCATCCAGTCGCCCAAACCAAAATACATGAAGTTGGGATCAAGCTTGCAATTTATTAGTTGAAACTCAAACTTTTCAACCTCTAAGTCACTGTTCTACAATAAGATGTTTAAGTACTGAATTCCAGTTTATAGTTATAAACACATGGATTCATTTTATAACCAGCATATATCCAAAAAAGAACATTCAATCACTTTTAAATAATGAGCAAAAGCAACGCTGGTGTACTTTCCTGTTTGGTTAAATGGACGGAATACGTTTACTGACCATTTATTCATCGTTTCCTTTAGGTAAACTCGTTTCTTTTTTTAATGTCATCCTACATATCTACCCATGTCCAAAGACTTACATTTCTTATGAATCCATAGCTTTTTTAATATGTCAATATGTAGCACCTTTTTAGATTCAAAAAAATATATTCATACCTAATTCTTGTTTGTTTAAAACAATACTTATTATTCTTTGCTAATAAATTTTCCTATTAACGTTTGCATCTAAGTCGGGAAAGGGGAAAAACAGAATAGTATCCTATTTGGAACTAAGCATTCTTACTACTTATAAGTTATATAGTAAAAGTATAGTAAATGGACGACTTAAAAGTAAACTGCGACGAATTTTCAGCCAGTTCTTAGTCGATCAGAAGACAGTATTACTAAAATGTGTAAATAGTTTCTATAAAATTGTCGAATTTATTTAGACCATTTATATGTTACTCTATCTGTATTTCGGAACAACACGTAAATACGACCTTATGGACTTAGATAATCCACCTTCTTTAATCATTATAAAGACCGAAATAGATTTTTAGAGCTCCAAATTATCTTTGATCAGAGTATTTATCACTAAGGAGTTTTAGTGATGTTACGAAAACATTCTGTAGGCAATATGGATGAATAATTCAAAAGGTGCTATCTTAAATCCGATTAGTTCAATCATATACTGGTCACTGAGTCAAGCTTTACCTTAGGATTACAGTTGATTTAACCTTCATATACAGTGTATATAGAAACAATTGAGCAATTGTTATTCTAAACATCACCATTTTCACTCTACGACGGTCAAGGAATAATATTTAAATATCATTTTAAACGTCCAGACCACTACTGTATGAAAGTATTCCTACCGCTAATTTTACATATATATATAATTGAATTTCGGACAGAAAACCTAAATATTGTTTTCCCGATTCTGAACAAGACATCCCCATATGAACTGTATATCACCTACTATTTTTTTGGTATATATATTGTTATATCCGAGCGAAGATTAAGTCACGAGTAACTTCTGAAACATATTAAATGACTAATATTATCTATACATACTTATGGTATAACTATTCAATGATTAGATTGTGTATATTTATAGTCCTCTTATTATAAGCTTTATTTTGATCTATAATTTATTATTTTACGATTTACGGTTTTTAAGCTATGTTCAGTTTATTGACTACTGCCTCCCACGTTCACAGTCATTTTTTGGCTTTATTGTGTACAAATGTTATTTCCTATTTTATGGTACGTTGCGGTCTGTTTGTTTGATATATAAACCCAGTATGTCTGAAATAAACGATTCGATTCGCATAGTGGAAACTGGTATTGACGTTCTGGACTCAAGTGGACGGGCTAGGCGAAAATAGGACCAATAAGGACGCTAGGCTGCTCATACCGGTCGAACGTCATTGGTTTTGGCACAGTGCTAAGATTGTATAAGTCGTATTTTGATTAATGGATAAACCACGTGATAAAAAGCCGGGAGATAAAGTTATAACATATATATAAAGAAAACAAGAAAATCAACTGAAAACGACAAGAAGTAAACCAAAATGAACAACCTTATTCTTCATATGTTTTATTCTTTAGAAAAAAGAACAATGTCAAATTTGAGAAAACAAAATGAAATTATCAGTTTTTCTTTGAAATATTATGATTATCCTAATTAAACCTTAAATAAACAATAAATGATATTACCACGCGTACATATACAAAATAGCAACAAGCAAGTTACATTCAAATTGTGGACAGGATAATAGATAAACAAATAAAGAGTGTAAAAGTGAGACAAAGGCAAAGAGAACAAAATGCAGATATAATTTCAGAATGTTCTTTTTTTTCCTCCTAATTATCATAAGTACATTCATCCAACCATCATCATCATCATTATTGTCATCACAATCAATATATATTATATACAACGGTAACATAGAAGAGAGTTCATAGGTATGCTTAAAATAAGTAAGTACCCAAAAGTATTCAACTCAAAGAAAGAAACATTCTTCTGTTATATTATAATCAATTATAAAATAATTCATTTTATTCAATTATAGATAAGCATAAATGAAAGAAAATCATATGAATAAACTATAATTACGAGAGAAAAACAAACAAAAAAATTTACATAAATAATAACAAATGAAAAAGTAAATAGAAAAATCTAGAAATCTAAACTCCAAGAGCAAACGGCGATGATCATCATGATGATGATGGTGATAATGTTCATGAACATAAAAATGAATGATCAATAATTACTGAAGAAAGTGATACAAAGACAAATTGGTTTGTTAAATAAACAAAGATATATATATATACCTCTAGTAATAATTGTGAAACAGATTTGTTTTCGGATCATTCTCGTTGTTATAAAAGGAATAGTAGAAAGAATACTGAATGTATTTCATTTAATTATTATGATCTTCTGATTGAGATGGATGATTAGAATTATTCCCTGATAGTGAACTAATCATAGATTGTGTACTCATATAATTAGCTACACTATGTCTTTTTTGTAAATGTAATAAAACCGGTGCAACAAATTGTTCTTTACTATCAATTCTTACCGGGTATGAATGTCTAATTAAATCATTTCTATTAAATACTTGTAAAGAACATGTAGGAGGAGTAGGAGGAGGTGATGGAGGTGGTATTAATGGTGAAGCAGGAACAGAACGGATCGAATTTTTAGATTCTGATTTATCTTGTGTTAATGGTTGAGTAGATTGATTCGGATCACTGTTATTTCTATGTATAGGAAAAGTAGCATCGACCAATGATTTTCGATCACCAACCTGACAAGATAAATGAAAATAAACAATGTGATTAAAATAATAGATCTGAACTTGTATTTGTTAACTATTGTATTAAAATGTTAGTGAATTACAACACAATAAACGACCGAATAGTATTTATATGCATTTTCATTGGGTTTTGAATGAATAATTTTCACAAACACTTCTAACCTTAATATCGATAATATTAAACCTCGATTACTTCTTTGAAACACTTTGAACTAGTTTATCACAATCAATGGAGAGTCTGGTATGAGTATGTATTAGCACGACGAAATAACATCAAAAAAGATGTATAGTAAAAGAGTTTAAATAATGTAGTAGGAACTATGATAAGAAAGACTAAACATTGAGAAGATAGCTAAAGAAAAAACAGAATGAAAGTGTATGTATGTAGGAATGCTCGAACACAGGATCTTGTTTGAGATTAGAAATGAAACCATCAGTGCTATTGTGACCGATTATATAACGTGGACCTCAACTAGGTAGTCTGCATCTATCAGAAAAGTTCAGACCAACAGTGAATGATTTCATAATTTGGTCACAAACAAGCTCCCCACCAACTAACTTCTACGCTAGTTAACATTTCTTGTCAATATTTAACTGATGAAGTGGGACGAATAAGGTGGAGACATAACTTTGGAAACTATCATACGAAGGATTATTATTTAAGATATTATTATATTGTTCGTAGATGCTTACAATGTTGTATATTTTTATTCTGTAATTTTTAAGCTTTTGTTTGACCCATAAATCGTTGTCAAGTCTTATTATTCGAGATTTATCATTCCTTAATTATTCCTCAACAACTCTGGTTTTATATCACTTATGATCGAGCTGTGAACACGTTGTAACACCAAAATGGTCTCGTTGTGTAGTCAGGGATTTCAGATATATTATTGTATAAGTTTTGAATCACGACTGAACTAAGTACAACAGAAAACTGATCTGCTCTTTTTAGCTTCATCATTTGATTGGGCACTTGCTTTGGAAGGAAATCAAAGACCGATAAGCATTTAGGTCTTAGTTATTATTGATTGGTCAATATGTCAGTTGGTATTTGGATGGTTACCGATCCTACTGGTAATATGGTTGAATTAATTGATTATTGGACTGAAGACAGATATATAATACAACTTCTTTGCTGTCGTTACGGTTTAATCACACGAGAACCAATACCACCCACTCAAGAAATCTATTTTTTATACCAACATCAGTGTCAAATCAATTGTTTCTAACCGATTTTTGAACTGTTGTCACAATTATTGTTGTAGAATATTCTTTCACATTAGGTATATATTTACAATATTCTGTGAGCAATTTAAATCCATTATGCAATTATGATTTTTAAATATCACAGGTTGTAAGCAGCTGACGAGAACCTACGAAATAAAATGAATTCATGCTATTCTGCTAGAATCTTTGTTCTTGCTCTTTTCAAAATGATAAAGGGAACTATGTGTATGAAAAAACCCTTCAGTCGATTAAAATTTACAGATTCATCAACTGATTTGTTATCTTTGCTTACTACTCTAAGCTTAATCATATATATGCCAAACTCATGGATTATAGACAGAGGCTTCTTACTATTAGTTATGGAATGAAATTATGCAGTAGAAATACACTTTCTCAAAGTAAAATTCGGTAACATGTGCAATAAAATAAGGCGATTAGTATAATCCTATCAGACAAGCAATAATAACACAATATCATTAGTTAAATAAAGAGATTATTAAAAACACAAGATAAACCGTGATGTCAACTGATCGATACGACGAGTATCGTTGCTATGCTTTGGCAGCCTGCCTGAACATCTGGCCTAGCTGTTCCTGACATCTAAATATTTCAACAAGTTATCTAAGTTGGTATGTTTTAGTACATCGTTATGACTAATCATCGCATAAGCTATTCAGGTGCATTTGTGAAAGTATACTACATTTCTCTGTACAAGTTACAAAAGGACTAATCAGAGATATCCTGGTTGCTGGTAATATGCAGGGAAAAGAGTGTACATTATTTAAATGTCGGTTGACTGAACTGCTAACTTTTAACTGGCAATTACTCAATATTTATTGTCATGATCGACCAAGTAAGAAACGGAAACTTGTTGAAATACTTTGTGCTGAGAATTCCATATTGTACCAAAAATATAGTATTGAGTAAAGCTAATAACAATAATAATAATCGTTACCTAGCAAAGTATCTCTATTTCTACATATAAATATATGTACAAACATGAGCATAATACAAGTTACGATAAAATTACCAGACAATTTGTTATGATTTTATAAAACTATTAAAATTAGGTGGAAACAAACAAAAACAATACGTTAGAAGACGACAACAAAGCCTTTCTCTCTCCCTGTCTTCTTCAAAGCACCTCATTACCATAGTGAGGTGATTCTAGTCCTTTCCCATAGGATAACCCATAAAACTGTAGCTAGTATGATTATTTATGTATCTTTTGTCCAACCGTCAGCTGTGTTTCTATCCTTACCACCATTACTGAACTAGAACTAAATAACAAGAACTGTATGGTATAGGCTCTATTCACCACTGAGGTCATTAATATTTAATGATATAATGTTATTACTTTTTGTTTACTATATAGGATTTAAAATGTCAACACAATAGGGAATGCACAGAAGTTTGTAAAAACTGAACGCATGTAATTACTCTTTAAAACTGTCGCTCCTTTGCTAACACTGTTGACTTAGCCCCAGGCTAATAAGACGACAAAGCCTACAATGTGAGGAATAGATTTTACGAAAAAAACCCTACTATTTTGTAAATAGATCCACTTTACAGTACTCATTAGTTGAATCTAGATAATTATGACTTAAAAAACGATATTATAAAGTGCTTGAAAATCTGGAAGCACCAGACGACCGTTTCCACCTAGTATGGGACTCCTCAAACTTATACATGCAGGACATTGAAACTGGGAATTTAATTCAGAACCATCCGTATTGGGAGTGAACATTTAACCTCCAAACACTGAGCCAGGACCCAATAATGTAAAACTTTAAAATCAATCAATCTACGCTATTGCGTGAACATCTTCCGTGGCCTATGTTGGTGACTAGTTTGGGAAAGAAATCTCCGAAGTTCAAAAGAAAAGCCATGTCCAGAGAAGTTCAACCATGTCGAGTGTAAAAAAGTTACCCACTAAAGAAATTGGAAAACGACCGTGCAATATCATGGACTGATTGAAGTTAGATTTATACACAACCGGATCTCGAGTCAGTGGTCTGGAGGTTAGGGGTCAGCACGCGAGATTTAAGGCCCTGGGGTTGAACTGCCGTTCTCAGTGTCATGTATGCATGCTTTTGAGCAGTCCCATACCAGGGTAAACGGTTGTCAAGTGCTTTGAGATTTCCCATGAACTCCCAACTTAGATAGGATCGTGATTTCAAAGAAATTTATCAATCAAATTTTGAAACTGAAACAAAATTAAAAAGCACATAATAAATCTATTAATTAAAAAAATACACTTACTGCATTGGTTATTTCGATCAAATTTGATCCTCTACGTTGAACACTGACTGAACTATTATACTGACTATGCTGATCAACGAATACATTTTCAGTGGTAGGGACTAAACGTGCATTTCTAAATAGAAGTTTACGTGCTGAACTACTACCAGCCATTATCCATCCAGTAACAATCGTGAAAATTATTAATATTGCAGAGAATATCAAACCCAATAATGAACAAATTACTAAAGCATGACTAACAGTATTGGAACGTAAAACAATAAACATGAATATATTTAATTGTAATAAAAACACAGAAGCTAACATACAACTGATTGCAAGCCAATGAATGTGGGAATCAATACGGCTAGGCAAATAGGCATAGTAGAGATTATAACGTTCTACGAAATACTTAAATATTAAATAGATAAGACCTAAAAATGAATATAAGAAAGCAAATTAAATAAAGAATAAAAACACTTTAAAAAAAACATAAAATTACACCGAAGTGCTAGTCGATCTCTATTCAACAAAATAATCGTTCATTCTATAGCGTCATATAACAACGTCTACCTCTCTTCCACTAATTTGTTCAGTATGCAGCGTCACTAAATAATGCACAGGAGAGGAGGCATCAAGACAAAATGCAAGTAACGTGATTAAACCATGGAATTTGGTGTTTCATGATTGAAAATGGTGTTAATTCTTCATATATATTCTGACCCTAAACACATTACTAGACGCTAGTAAGTTCGAGGAGGCATGGAAAGTGTTCATTGAAAAAGTTAGCATCCCAGATTTGTACAACTAATATTTTATACTCATATTAATTTGAGGATGGCAACAAAATTACGCCAAATTAGTGGAAAGTGTTACGGCTTTTTACATACATCTAAATCCAGCAAAGCGTACTAAGCCATGAAATTGAGAAAACTTGTAAAACACATCCAAAGATTTTGCCATAACTTTAATGAATACTAGCTAAAGATGGTTCAATTGCACAAATAATGTGTAAACAATAATTTTGCTAGGAAAATTACAAATTATATTATTACGAAAAAAACTGTACCAAATAATACAATGACGATGTCATTTATAATGCAATATAGAAATTATAGTAATGTTAGCTACTTACCGAATGGTGTAATCAACGGACATACAATACTATATGCACAGATCACAGCGAAGACGCATAAACTCCATGCATAAAACAGTCCAAACTCAAATTCAAATTGACTAGCCTATTAATGAAGAAAGAGTCCTCGATAATTATTGATCCAAGATAATAAAAGAAATGGTTATAAAATAGTTACCCACTAATAGCATTGGAAGATGGTTGCGCAATATCGCGAAATGATTGAAGATGGGAATATAAAGTATCGGATGCCAACTCAGTTGTCTGAAGGTTAAGCCCTCGATATAGATACGCACTGTAGAACACTCCTAAATTAGAATGAGACAGATCACTAGCGCTCCCTACTTTCCAGCAGTTGTCTAAGATCAATCCGTGATGTAAAGCAGATGACAGGACACATTCAGAAAATGACTATCAAATTACATGTAAATAATTAAGTAATCGTTTTCATTAAAATAACATAATTAAGGAAGTTGTAAACAGAAGAATAAATGAAAACCTAATAGAAAATTTACCTTTCGTACACCAGCTTTTTCAGCTTGTGATTTAACACACATAAGACGGCAAGCATAATTAAATAATTCAGAAAATCGAACAAGTTCTAATGATGTTCCAATAAATGCTGCAGTGATTACATAATTGACAAAGAAAGCACCATTATCTGGGATAAAAACACATTCCCATTGAAATGACTGTGGTCCTATTGGAATAAATGGACTAGATGAAGATGGTGTACTTGAATTATTAGCAGTAGCATTATTGTTATTACTAGTAATATTATTGATGGTTGAAATATTAATAATTTTTGAACCATTATTTGCTGGGACAAGTGGTATGATATGCATTTCCGGGAAAAGCCACTGAAGTAGAGCAGGTATTCTAGAAATACATACACATGTATTATTATTACAGATAGATTGAAAAATCACAAGAAAAAAATATTACTGGAAACGTTAAGAAAATAGTTCATAATACATACATAAATTTTGAACAGGTTGTTTATTTATACACCCATTTATTTATATACAGAAATACAGTACGGCAGCAGATGTAGAATGGACCACACGAATACAGAGATTACATTGTGAATGCCAAGGTAAGACAGGGTAGTATATGATAGGATATGGTTATGACTTTACAGACTCTGTCAGGACGTTTTATTCACTGATTTTACGTGGTGGAATTGCTGTTTAAAGAAAAAAAGAAGGCGAAAAGCGAATATGCAACACTTAATCCGAGTTGATAGATACGAAAGATTCAGATTAGGGGAATTGGAAAACCCTGATTTTAAACCAAAGTTTCACACGGACCTTAATAGTGTATGAACCTATAACCGCTACGATGATACGGCAGTTATTAACGTTGCTTCATTCTCTTGTGGATTAGACCTTAGTGGACTCCTATGAAAACCACGTGCTTTTGTGTAGGTGCCCGGGGAGTATTTCAGATCACATACACATTTTATAACGACTAACATCAGAGAAAACGGATAACTTCAATTAATATTCAAGACAGAAATAATTATTGTACAGGACAATATTTGTTACTTAATAAACTAACATGAATGATACAAAGACAAAGCAACAGAAAATAAATTGTAAAACGTTAGGAACCCGATTTCCAACTCATTTGCATATTACAAATACACCATTATTTTGTTATAATAAATAGTCCACCTAATACTCAATTTATTTGAAATTATCAAGTCAAACCCTATAATGATACTTACAAACACTTCAAAAGGAATAAAGTTAGGTTACTTTATAAGTCCTTACTATTGATCTAACAATGAATGGTGATTGGTATCATATTTGTCTAGTCCTTTAATGATGATCCAATTCTATCAAACAAGTTGTAATGAGGCCACTAGTCTAAGTGACATGACATTGGGTGTTCTATGTTGTGATGTTAGTTGATGGGAAGTAGTTGATAGGACGCCTTGGACATAGGTTTAACTCTATTTGACAGGCGTCAGCAAGGTATGCCTGTAATTTTGAGAGAACTGGTGCTCTCTATCGGATGATATCCCATGTTATCTAGCTTCACGGTCTTAGGCATTACAAATGAGTTATTCAGGTCTAATTCTATCTACTACCACTGATACTCTTACTGTTCATATCACTCTGGTACTCACTTTGACAATTTTACTTCGCTGTGCTAATGTTTTGTGGTAAACTCAAACCGATGCACAAATGCGAAATGATTCTATGTTACTCATAGCTGAATAACTAATAATCTAAATGAAACAAATAACAATGGCTAACAAAACGAAGAGATAAACAATTTTAATTTAGCAAAAATGAAAACTTGAGTTCATATTTAAAAACAATAGTTTGAATGCAGATATATTTCTATTCCGTTGGCCTTTATATACTTATAACATTGTGGAAGCTATTCCACCTAAAACAGAATATATCTATAAGCTTCTAATATCATACAAAATTGAATAAAATCACTTCAAAAGAAAAGACTTACGATGTAAGGCCAAGTGATGGAAGTACTAAAATCATTAGAATTAATAAAGTGTATGTTTTAATCATTACAGTTAAATGTAGAACAGATTTAGTCCAATGACCAACAAGTCGATCTGAATTGAATACAATGTAAGGTAATAAAGCAGACACGGACCAAAGAATAATAGATGGGAAAAATTGAATCAATAGTGGATTCTATTGGATGAGAAATATAGAAAACAAAAATGTTAAAACATATTTTTGCATTACGGACTGACGTTAGTAGGACAACTAATAAAAACTAGAAAATACTGAACAGCTACTTTTTTCTAGTAAGAGATTCTTCAACAATGCACGTGAACGACTCCACATGAAGATCCTCAGTGGGTTTGTGGATGCACATTGATGAAGGGCTTGATACAAAGACAAATAAACAACTGTCCAATGCTTCCTGATACTCACTAGGTATTCAACTGAAGTTAGTTCGTGATGTAAACTTTTGAATGATACCAATCTGACGCAATGATGAACAATTTAGTTTTCTTCATAATATTTGCCGCTTTTCAATTAATCAGTTGGTTATGTCTTTTATTGCGTAATATCATTTCATTTCATTTTGCCGATACCACCTTTGTGTGGTTTCCATTGAAATCAATCATTTTGCCAGCAAAAACTTCCAAATGTATCTTACTATCTTCATTCGATCAATTAATTGTAGTCAATTTTAGTCAGACATTTAAATATAATTAAACAGGTTTGGAAATTATACATATCCAATGGAAAAAATTGACTGGAGTTCCAGTGTATGATAATTTTTGTGAAGGATCGTGAAAAGAAGATTCACCTAGATAGCACTCATCAACATGAGCATGACGGTAAAACTGATTCGAGCCGACTGTATAGGATCGTTAATCTATTATAATTTTAGCATCAATCCCATAGTTGTTGAACCCAGTAAAGGATGTATAGTGTTTAAAAGAGCAGCTTGACTACTCCTCAAATCAATCTGAAGGGAGCTGTCAATCTAGATATGCTGGCTAACTGAGAACATATTTTTCTCTCCCCATATTCTGATAATACTTAGAATTCGAACTTGAAACGTGCTACTCTTGGTATTTTCGTTTTTGTTGATCTACTTGGAAAATATAGTAGGTATTCAATGAATAATGGTTTCAGTCAACATAGCTAGATTAGATCATCATGATAGTTAAACTTGATTACTGGATTAAAGTAGAATTTATAGTTGGATCACGCAGCTTAAACAAATTAATAGTATTTTTAATCCTGATTAATTGATTAGAACAATGTATGATATAGCAATTCACAAAATCAGTAATCTTATCATATGCAAAGTAATGAAAAACCTATGAACTTCTCACTATTTAGCTACAACGACAACGGTGTATGGGTAAAATAAAAAGTAGATATATTAGGGAGGGATTTTTAAGAACCAGAGTACTAAATCCTTATCCTGTTAAAAAAAATTACATAAGGGAATACAAAAAAATCACACTGTCATCACTTCTAACCAACTAATCAACATTTAAAACAGCTTAACCAAGACAAGGGCGAGATTGAGTGAACAAACAAGAGTCATATTGTAGTGTATGCTACATATGTTGATAGATATAAGTAGTATATAACACCAATCAGAAATGGAATGGATGGCAGCAGGAGATTGAGAAGGTCGACTTGTAGACAACAGGGACGTAAACAGAGAAAAATTGTAATAACAACAGGAATGATGAAGTTTGTAATACACAGCTGATGGAAGATGTGCAAATAAAGTATTTAATTTATGGTTTTCATATTTTGTGAAGACACTGCAATTTTGCATTAAACTATAAATTGGTTTTCCCCATCAAATCCTCCTTTACTACAAGATCATCAGTCACTATGATATGTTAATTTACGAGATTCATGAATGATATCATTACTTAAATAATAGATATATATCAAAGTATAAAATAAACTCTATATCGGTATTGAATTCCAGAAACTCTTAACTAGTAATTTAATTTTTTTTCGTGTAGTGACTTTTAAGAAAGTAGCAAAAAGCGTCTATGATAATGATAGTATAAAAGAAAGGAAACTCACATTAATTTGTAGACGTTCAGTTAAATGCAATGTATTAACTAAATTCAATACATATGTAGGAGTAGTAAGAAAAAACACCACGAAGAAAACACACAAGTTAATAAAAATTGCTCGACACCACCAAACAGTTCTCGTAGCTGCTAGATTCGCCCTAAAATTCAAAAAAAGCAACTACAATAACGTTAGTATATGGGTTCGCTATTATCGTTGAATTTCATCCTGTATATCATGGACTAACTTCGGCTAGATTAACATTAAAAACCAAGCAGATGTTTTATCTTATCAACGGACTCTTGCAGTGTGCATTGACAACTTCGTCTAGAATGGAACCTAAGTCGATTAAGGTGTCTCTGCAGGGTATTTACCCTTCAAGCTACTAGGTTGAAATGCAATCGCTGGTGTTTCCAATTTTAATTAGTTTGTGATATTGTAAAACCATACTTCAATATGATTTGTGGATGACTATCAAACACAACGAGGTTGAAGTCCGCTAATCACCGCTTCTCACTAGAACTCTGAAAAATGTCACAATGGTTACTTAGCTAATGTTTGTCCGTGATATAGGCAATAAAACGATAACATAATATTTTTTCTAAGAACTGAAAAATTATTAGTGACATCTTACTGAGGAAACTGATTTAGTAATAATTGTTGATCTTTCTAAGAAAAAACTACTAAAAACTGTAAGCGAAGTTGATTTTAAGGTGTTAAATTTTCTCGATCATTAAGATGACTAAGTTGGAGCGTCTTTCAATTTGTGACACAATAGTTCATGACGTCCTGTCCTCACTACATTTTGAGTTGTTCTATAATATTTAGTAGAGTCATATTAGTAATTTTCAACTGCATTACTTAATGAGACGCTGAAATGGATATTCAAAAAACCTTGACTAATATATAAAGTATTTGATTGAAAGTATCAACGGTGCATAACTCTTTATCATGAACTCAGCAAGACAACATTTCAAATGAACTTGGAAACCTCTCGAATAAAGTGTCATGTATATTAGACAGAATTCAATTTATGTTTCTAAAATTTTTTCGGTTGTAGAAGCTCGTTCTTTTTACGCCAGAGGTCATATCTGTGAGACGCACATAGTTATGAAAAGAATCATTTCCCAAAAATCTAAACATGAACTGTTGAAAAATGGTTTTTCTTAGTAAATGACAGTTTGAATTTGTATATAGCGCGTGCAGCATTAAATGAAGTTCTGAATGAATGAACCACAAGAATGCAGTGAAAAACTACATTATTACCAACACCAAGTTGAGAGTCAACAAATATTCCTCGGAAAAGCCTTCAAAGGATACGAAAAGGTTAAAAATATTTTATACAGTCAGAGTTCAATAAGCAGATAAGAGAGGGAAAGTTCTAGAAAAATCACGAATTGTGTGTCATATCCTGATTGGACCACTGCCAACTTTGCTACTAATCTCTCTCTATATATATACTCCCTAAACATCCTTGTTACTTGTGCCTAAACTAACCTGAGAAGCAAGGCTTCTTTTCATACTTTTCACCTTCTATTTGATATTGTACTGTAGTAGATTTCTAAAGAACTAGAAATTGGTTAGAAGTCATAGTTAAGTGCCCAAGTATCAGATGTGTTATATACAAAAAAAACGTTGTCTAATTGTCTCGATCTATGCGTTTTGTTTGCTTCACTAATCAACTTTATTCAAAAGAAACTATAGTAATTCTAAACAGTTAATTAACAAGACATTTGATACATACAAAGCATTAAACACAAACGATAAATTTTAATTGATGAAAGCATATTATTTGAAGAAAAAAAAGAGGATAGTTATACGCATGAAAAATATAGTTCTAATGAAAATATAAGTTAGTTAGGCACAACTTAATCAAATCAACCTATGTAATCACATAGAGATGAAAAAGATTTGATGTATTAGAGACAAAATATATTATGCCAGAGGCTAAATTACAAAATCCCTGTATTAATCGTATTTTCGTAACAAAAAACAAACAAGGAAGCGGAGCATGTGGAAATAATATTCAAAACAATGAATGAAATTGCATGTATGCTGAGTTATGATTGTAGTTTTGTTGATGGAACAATCAAATTTATTAAATACAAATAAACCATGTATTAGTATGTGGGGGAGGTTATGGAGGTTGTAGAATTTTCATAGTTTAAACAAGGAATTGATCTTAGCTAGATCACTATCAAATATCTGGAAGCACCAAATAGACGTTTCTTGATAGTACGGAACTCTATAACAGTGAGCGTTCATAACTCCACATCCGGGAACTGAATCCAGAGACTTCGACTTAATGTGCTGGAAGTCAAATGTTCACCCACAATTCCCAGATGCAGGGTTGTGAGTGTGCATTATTGAATCCCAAATCAAGACAAAACGACCGTCCAGTGCTTGCAATTTTAGAATAGTGTTCTAGCTAAGACAAGTTCATGATTTAAACTAAGAAAATAAACTTCATTTTGATAATGAAAAGTGTGAAATGTATTGTTAGCAATAAATGATTGGAGAATCTTAGACGTGTAAACGAATCGAAATTACAAGAGGCCTTTAAACATTGAGAACATGCTATATTAATTACAATATATATGAAGCATGGGTATTTTATTCGTTAGATATCATTTAATTTTCAACTGTTAGTTGTAGATTGTCAATTGTTACTTCACCTAAGTTGATTCATATCAATTGTGTTCATAAAAAATGTTGATAATTGGGAAACACATAGAACAACACTTGAGATATTGACTTTTTAACCGACCATTTAATCCTCAGCGAAAACATAAAAATTTGCTTTTGAAACTAATAGTAAATAGACAGAAAACGAATGATATTATCGAAGTATACAAATCAGTTTGCGACTACGAAATCCTTTAAAAAAGAAACTAAGATTGGTAGAAATAATTTAGTTTTCACACATTCAGTGTATGGTTAAGTAACTGAAATATAAAAGGATTCACTTAAACGGTAATTTCGAGACATTAGTTAGAATACTTATAAATATCATTATCAGAACGCCGTCATTCAATCTGACAAATAGTTCAAATCAGTAAACGCCTAAGAAAAATATCACTAGATAAAGTTTTGAAAATGTAAGAAAATACTAAGCCATCAATTGACAAATAAACAACAGGACGATATCAACATACAACTGTCATTATTGTTTAGTAACTCATCAATGCAAACACCTCGGGTCTCAGTAGGTCAGTTGAAAGCAGGATAACTTAATGAATATAAACTATTTCACTAGGTCAATCGATTTTTTCACCTCAGTAGAGAGCACTAAAACCTTGAAACTTACTTCTTGACAATGAGTTGTGTTTGAATGTCAATTACCTTGGAATAATTAACATCAAAATAAAACACACCGTGATCTCGAATTACTTAATCTACTGGTGATTGTATAATTTGATCGATAGTATTTGAAATGTAGTAAATTCTAGAAAAACACTATATTGGTAAGTGTTCAGTGGCAAGTTATGGTAAAATTTATTTATTTATTTCAACACATAGATAATGGTACAAAGAGGCACCAAATACATATGCGCCACACAAATCTCATTTGATATGTGTGAGGGCTGTGATACTGCCTGGGTGCCCAAACCGAAGCAAGTGGTTTTCTTAGGGGGCCACTCCCCGAGCCTTCGACCAGAAGTTCTGATCCACAAGGCAGTGGAGCATCGTAAGGAGATGCAATCCCATGGAAGCCGGTGACTAACAATTGGTTCATACGCCATTTGTTCCCGCAGGATACTGGAGCCCATGTGCACCATTGGTTTGGAATCCGGTTAAAGCGCCGGACATTCGCTTTTCGTCCTCTCATTTTCATAAACAACACCCCCGCCACGAGAGGGCAATGAGTAGGACTTCCTTGGCAGAGGCTATATACGCTTGGCCATGTGAGAGCAGTTCGAGAAGGAGAGCGGACTCTCCCCACTCTCGGCCGTACCAGGGCATTTGGGGCTCAATACTGGTTGGATGCTTAGTCGTCCTACAAGTAAACATACTGTTATAGAAATTCTCCAACTAATCTAACAACCGGAGTATTAGAAAACAATGAAATGTGGAAAGTAATTGTCATTTAATCTTAGATAATTTTCCCATAAAGATCACTGAGAATTTGACTATGACAATTCATCATCATCCAACTAGAGCCCTATACACATGTACACCCAGCCCAAGTTGTAAAACCACATCAATGCAAAGAAATTAACTTAACAATATCAGTGACAAAGAAACTGCAAGTAATAATCGAACGGATAAAAACTGAACAGATGAAATAGAGAATTTGGTTCGAAAAGAAGGTATGTATGAAGACGCATTGAAACTCAAGATATAAAGACAAGACTCAGACTAAAAGTTAATGATTTCACGGACTAATAGCATATTCTTGTCTACTTTTTTCTTACTTAAACTGTCGCTTTATTCCACACTACATGCTAAAACGATACGTTAGAGAAAATTAAGATTTACTATAAGTAGAATTAATTAAAATCAGAAGTTAAAAATTACATAAGGGAATAATTTACTAAAACAACACAGGACTTACCAAATAATATTACTTGGAACAGGTGCAAAGTCGACAGACCACATATGACTTTTCAATACTGAACTAGTACTAGTACTAGACATTATAGATATAATTAAACGTCGACAAATGTTACGATATTCCTTACATACACTAAAGTATTAGAAAAAAAACAGTATTTACAAAATGTAATAGATGGAATAGATTGAATAAATACAATAAGACAATATTTCACTAAAAAAATTAATGAATTAACAATCTCAATTGTTGAAATCATAAGTCAATTAAAGCTAGATCACCATGGAAAACCTGGAAGCACTGGACAGTCGTTTCGTCCTAGTATGGGACGCCTCAGCAGTGCGCTTCTACGATACCACCCCCCCCCGCGAGATTTGAACCCAAAACCTATCAGTGGTCTAATGGTTAAACGCTCGTGTGCGAGGCTGATAGGTCCTGGATTCTAACCTCGCGGGGGGCGGGATCGTGGATGCTCACGGATGAGGAGTCTCACACTGGGACGAAACGGCCATTCAGTGCTTCCATGTTTTCCATGATGGTCTAGCTTCAATTGACTCATGATTTCAACTATTGAAATTGCTAAAATCTCCACAAAACCTCTTCTGATAAGTAATAATAATTAATAATTCATTTATTCATAAATCAACTTACTAAGCTGCAGCATATTTGGTTGAGAATGTTATAAATGCAATACCAATTGGTTTTTTAATTGTTGTTTCATACTGTTTTTCAATTTCTTTTTGTAAATACATTTTTTTATTTGTATAATAAGTGATTGCATCAGCAGGTTGTGGACATGAACAACAAAGGCATAATTTACATTTATTATAATTTATTTTAGGTGAAGGAGAAGAGGAAGATGATGAAGATAATTCGTTGTTAACAGCTTCAGATCTTGGCACAGTATCATCAATATTATCTATATGATTATCATTATTATTTGAAATATAATTTTGTGAAGAATCTATTTGATTATTAGTATTCCAACAACAACTACGACAACAATTATTTTCATACCATTTTTTATACATCCAACCACAACAACATGGTATAATAAATGGACGTTTACGTTTACGTTCGTAACTTTCTTCAGAGTAACGTAGAGCAGCTCTTACAGTATCTCTTGAGAAAGAAAGAATCATATTAATTTATGATGGTAATTATAGTAGTAATGATAATCAACAATGCAAATGATAGATAAGTAGTTTCTAAACAAAGTACAGTCAAATGTATGTTAATGAATAATCTGGGGAAAAACAAAGTCAAGTCGTGGGAATCAGTCAACAAAGTTGGTATATGAAGACTGACTGATATCATGAACTACTGAAAACTATGAAACACTAGGTGGTCGTTTCATCCTAGTATGGGACTCCTTAGGAGTGTGTATTCACAAACATGAATTGGAAACCGGGACCTTCGGTGTGGCGTGTGCATAGCTAACCACTAGACCACTGGTCCGGGGTTCGATGGTGCACAAGTTCAACTTTGATCAATCTATCAAACTGAGTGACCATCTTTCATAGATTTGTTGGGTAACTTCCTCACACCCGACAAAGGTTGAACGCCACTGGTTACATTTTACGAGGACGATTTCACACTTTCTTCTCAAATCATACTGATTATGCTCAATCTTTTCTATTGTCACTGATACTGCTACTACAACTATTACTCCGGCAACTATTTTGATAATTCCATTTCATTACAACAACGTGAATCGAGTTACAAATGTGTTAAGCTCTACAATTTTTATGACTGATAGACTGAATGAAAGTTGAAAAGGAAGCACCAAAAAAATTAATCATTTCAGTTGGTTGCAGTGACATAATAGCATTTATTCCCAAAATTTCTCTAGGTTTGAAGTAAACATCCAACAATCCTATTTAAAGAAGAAAGATCTTAAAAGAATAATATTCAAAATATTCAGCTTGTAGGTTCAATCTGGTGATAAGGAATCGAATATTCTGTCTGATTACATTAATCATCAAAGGTAAGTGATGCCAGAAAATTCTAGATAGTGTATACATCATTTATATAACAGGCACTAGTGTTTCTATACGTTTCTAAACTTTTTACTAAGATTTTTCTACAAATAAACTTAGTTTCCAGTTCATTTTTTAACATATAATCAAGTCGAATGAAGTGTATTAGGCAAAATACATTAGACTGGAAAGATAAATACAATAAATTTCATACATACCCAATCTACGACATTATGTTATTCCTTTTCAATTACAATTTTTATGTCTTAGACACTTCTGTTTATAGTCATTAATAACCCCAGGCTAAACCTACACAACAACTTGATCATGAGAAAAAACGCACGGAGTGTAAAAACGAATGCCTTACTTCAAGGTTAGTTTATGTACAGAAAAATGAGGGTAATTATAGAGTAACACAATCTTGAGCTTCTAGAAATTTTTATAAACATATAAAATATGGTAGCAGTATAGGTAAATATCCAATCAGAAACGGGACTATTCACTTTCTGGATTTTTTTTGTGATGCATTTATTCAACGCTGATTGGATAGTGTTTCCAAGCGTTTCCTAGGCCCTTGAGAGATTTCTGAAAAATACTTTGGAACTCCTCAACAGGTTTTGATAGTCAAGTAGTATTACCAGCTCTTATACACAAATTGTGGCTCATAACCGAGTATACTTATCGGTAGTTGGTGAGTTGTAAAAATTGTATGTGTATTTAATAGTTTCCTCATTAGCTTTTATTTATTCACCTATCAATATTTACTTTACAACACTTGACAAAAACTATAGTTTTACCAAAAGTAATATGATTTGGAAAAAAAAGAAAAAATTAATCACATTAAATAACGCCAAAAAATTAATCACAAAAATAAACTAGATTTTCATACGTTATAAATGCCAAAATTGCTTATCAAGGTAATCACTATATATATATATATATATATATATATATATATATATATATATATATATATATATATATAGAAAACAGTAAGATTAAAATATTCATAAAAATGAATGTTCAGGTTCCCAGGTGCCATAATACAATGACACACAGCTTTTAACTATTCGATAAATATGTATGCAAACATAGAAACACAGCCTGTAAATATTACTGATAAAATGATACACATATACATTGATAAGCATTCAGGCGTTAAGTGCCAGTTCTATTGAGTCCCATATCAGTAGGCGCAGATTTCTATAATTGTGATTTATGTCGGCCGCTACCTTGATGCGGTGGTCGGGCTTGCCTATCGTGATGACCTAACCGAGCTATATGGGCTGGAACATATGTTCTTGTAGGTTCTATCATGCCAGGCACGTCGATTGGAGAACGGTGAGACTAAAAGAAGCAACTCAAGGTCTGAGGGCGAAGTTGTACTGCTGATTGTAGAGGGGTGTGACAGCAGTAAGGTGTTTCCCTCGGACAACCAGTATCTGCAGCGATGCTGCCTTCTCACAAGGAAGGAATGGGTTAGAAAAGTTCGACTCAATAAATGTCACACCTCACCTTACCTCACGGATTTCCGTCTCCGACGGTAAGGCCCTTTGAAGAACGGAGCTAACACATTAAAAACCTCCCACAAAAAGGCCGTGTGCGACCGGCCTCAAGCAGTTGTCCCCTGGGCTCTGCCGTCACACTCTCAGGTCGTTAAGACCAACACTAATCCAATTTCTTTTTCAGGTTCCTCAAGAAATACCCTTCAACGGTGTGGGCAGCCGGGAAGTGATATCAGCCCTCATACCCGTAACAGCACACGTGACCAAGTAGGTCACATTCAAATCCTTCCTAATAACTCTCTTATCTCCACGATTAACCCTTCTCACGTTCTTTTATCACCTCGCACCGCTAGGGCAAACGATTCGAGTACGCGGAACGTTATTCCTAGTCTCCTGAAACCACGCTCTAAACTTCATGTTGGAGCTTTCGACGTCCGAACACTGTGCCAAATAGGACAACAGGCTTCCTTAGCTATGACTTTAGAATCTCGCGCTATCGATGTGTGCTGCGTCCCCGAAACGCGCATACAGGACCCGAGTAGCGTCATTCATTTGACATCACCATATCAAAATAAAGAACCGACTCGATTCACACTTCGTGTATCTGGAAGCCCTGATGCCGCGTCCCGTGGCCTTGCTGGCGTAGGTATAGCATTGAGTCCTAGGGCAGAACTAGTTCTTTTAGACTGGATCCCAGTAGACAGTCGCTTGTGCGCTGTCCGACTAAACGAAACAATAAGGACTCGGAAAGATAGGGACACTCGTCGTTGCCTCTTCGTCGTCTCTGCCTATTCTCCCACTGACTGCAGCTCAGATGATGTAAAAGATGAGTTTTACAGAAAGCTTGCCGACCTCAGAAAAGCTAGGCGCTCTGATGTAGTAATAGTGGCCGGTGACTTTAATGCTCAAGTAGGTAAACTAAGCGATAAGGAAAGACACCTAGGTGGATCTTATGGTGTCGTGGCTCAAAGAACAGATAATGGCGACCGTCTGTTACAGCTATGCTCAGATAACCGCCTGTTCCTTGCAAATACTAACTTTAAGCATAAGGAAAACATCTTTTAACATGGCGACCCCCTAATTCGTCCCAACGTTAGATCCAAATAGATCACATTGCTATCAACCACCGATGGAGGGGCTCGATAAAAGACTGTCGCTCATTCTGGAGCACATGCTTAGATTCAGATCATTTTCTAGTGCGAGCGTGTATTTGCTTGCGTCTTACTGGACGTAGGAAAGACGTTGCAAGGAAACCTCTTAGGGTCCGATTTAATGATAGTCAAGCTAAGAGTATATTTCAGGAACAACTAGGAAAACAGTTAGGTAGCTATGTATGTGATGCCCACCCCGATGCAGCATGGAATGATATCCGAAAAGCTGTGGAAATAGCAGTGATATCTGCTAGTACGGTAACCCGTAAAGTTAGGGAGCAACATTGGATCTCAGCAGCATCTATCGCACTGATAGATGCTCGGAAACTCATTCCACCTGGCTCTGAATATAATGAAGAGCGGAGTCAGCTTAAGCGCAAGCTGACAAGAAGCCTACGCAATGGACGCGAACAGTGGTGGGTAGCGAAAGCAAGAGAGATGGAAAAGGCAGCGGCAATAGGTAACAGCAGACAATTGTTCAGACTCGTTAAGGAAGCCGGTATTAGGAACCCTTGAGTTGCTGCTTTTAGTCTCACCGTTCTCCAATCGACGTGCCTGGCATGACAGAACCTACAAGAACATATGTTCCAGCCCATATAGCTCGGTTGCGTCATCACGATAGGCAAGCCCGACCACCGCGTCAAGGTAGCCGCTACGGTCGGGTGAGAACTCTCGACTATGGTAACAAATGATATATCGGGCAATAAATCTAGTGAATTGACTTGAATATAAGAATACTGTATGTATGTGATAGTCTATACATAGTTTGATAAAAACATGATAAGATAGCGTTACTTTGTCAACATATTATTTAATTTATTCAACTCATTTACCAAGTACAGGACTTGTATACTTGACATCCAGTCATACTTTGTGTGTGATGGGTAATGATATTATGTGGTTGTTCAGATCGAAGTAGGTGAAGTGGAGTTTGAAACTGCGATATAATGGCTAACAATCGAATATCCTAACCATTGAATCACTGCTCCACAGATTTATTCAATTCAAACTAATATAATAATGGCAAATGACATATATGCATAGCTGAAAAGAAGTACATGAAGAGAACAATAACAAACAACCTAGAGAGAGAAAAAAACGTACTTCTGATTTTCAAGTTTTATCAGTTTTCGAGTATCATAACAAATTTGTACATCTTCAACAGGACATTCAGGATAAAGTTCTCTGTGTTGTTGAAAAAATACAAAAAGAAATTAAGGTAGGAAAAATACGATCAGGATACAACATTTTAGTTCTACATGTAAACATATAAAATCACTTATCCGATAGCAACAAATAAGTCATATTGTTTTAAAAATTTATCATTAGTGTTTATTCAGTGATTAAAATGTATTTTTCGAAAACGATATAAAAACAGATAATTAAATCATTTTAATAAAAAAACAGCCCGGTGATAAAATATAAAATGATAATATATTTCCGAATATGATTTCGTATCTTTTTTTTTCATTCTTTGAAAACACAAAACTAGACACATTTTTTTTCTATTTAATGATTTTCATTTCATGTTCATTTAAACAAAGGAATGAAAAAATATACATAAATGATCATTATTTTATCATATTTTCATTGGAAACTTGTAATTTCAACATCAAAGCATCTGAAAGAAGTCTACGGAAAAAAAACCTGGTTCAGAATTAGTTTTCTTCAATGTCTAGATTTATCAAGAGAGACTAAGTAGTTGAGTAAATTGATCATTTTATTTATTTCTAGAAGTCTTATGAGCTAGATGAGTTGATGTTTGAAGAAATCACGGCATGAATTCAGAAAGTTTGAGTAATGACTTCAGATTATTCAATATCAGAAATCCACAATTCAGAATCCGGGATACAATTTTGCTACGCCAAGCGTGCTATTTTGCCTATAGGCAAGGGTTCTAAGTGTTGACTAATGATTCGCTTTGACTAGAAAAATAAGCCTTGGATCGAAACCGAGATAATCTCCATCCTGTTGGTAAGAACGCCTTCTATCCCCAGTCTTTAATTCGAAGAAAGCACAGCAGAGAATCTTCCGTTACCATGTTTCAGGCGCCCGGTATATTTATCTCGACCACTTATTAGTTCAGATAAATAATAATTAAGACTCTAACGCACTCCATATAGGAGCCCTTGAGAGGACATTTGTATAAGGTAACAAATTCATTGAAGATGGTATTTAAGACGTATAAGTTTATTAAATCATCATTTCTACTATCCCTAAACAAACGCAGAACTACAGTATTACCTAAATAATGTCGTTATTGAACGCGAATAACCCTTCAGAGATAACTGATGCACTACACATACAGCCGTCAAAAATCACAGCTTGAAAAAATCACATTTCAATAGGATAAAGGAAAATAAATGTACGGTATACTAGACTTTTATTTTTGAGTTGGCTGTCAGACAGTAGCTACCGTAGCACAGATTGGCATTGATTGTCATGATTTCATAACTTTTTAATGTCATTGTACATACAACTTGTCTTAGTGCATTTACATCAAGCATTTATTTTTAAACGTACATTTATAAGAAGCGTGTGATGAGAGGGAACACCACCACACAATCTGAGGTTATTGATGAGAGATTTATCACCTAGTCATACACTGTTTTCAGATCGTAGACAAATTACGAGTCAATGTAATGTGTAAACTCTAAAATATCCGAATACCACTATGTACAAAACCCGTATAAGACTGAAGGATATGAATCGATCGGTTGTAGAACTGATAGTAATGTATATTTTGCTTTATTTATTAAAAATTTTTTGGACAATTCCTTTCTTGACTTTACTCGAAATGGGTGAAGAGACACGTTGAACAGATTGTTTGCTTTGCTCTCTTGTTACTGATGATTCCGAAATCAGTTGGAAAATCATCAAATGTCCAGCTTAGAGTTCGACTTTCGAACAACTACATCCCAGATTCAAACATCCCTATACCTACGTTGCTTTAGGCAACTGAATAGGAGATTATTAGCCTTCACAATTACAGTGTGATTTATAATCAAGTAACTGGTTAACGAGGTAGTACAATTTAGTTCTGGTTTTTAGAAGAAATACTAACGAACAACAATTTTTCAAAAGTATTCATCAACTACCAATAATAATGAATGAACGTCCTGATAGATTACGTGGTATCACGCGTTAGAATTAGGCATGTTGCCTCTAATGCTCCTCTTCAATTTCTTGTTTCCTTCACTGTATTCAGCTTGTGCCTTGGCCTTCTCTGCTCTTATTCGGCTGTTGTTAATCGCTATCTTCATGCTCATTCTTTCTCGCATCCTGTCTAAGGTTTTGCTTAAGATTCATTCCTTATGATGATACTTGTTGCGGTCCAGAACCTCCAGACATGTTGAAGTTAATGCTTCTTTGATCCCCTTCCAGTTTTCCTTGTAGAGGCTAATATCCTCTATATCTGACTCCAAAAAAATAGTATCCCGTTAATTGAGTATTCAACGCAGGCTAAATCTCCTAGTAGAATTATGGATTTACTCGAAATTATTCAAAAGCCTGAACATCAGTTATAGAGATAATTTAATGTTTGGCGTTTAAGTCTCCCATCAGGATTATCAGGTCCTTTACTGAGCAATTCGTTATGATCGATTGCAGCCTTTCGTAAAACTGATCTCCATCGTCATGATTGCTATCATTGTTGGGTGCATAACATAGGATAATATTCATTGTGATTCTCCGCTCGGCTTCCCGTTTCTTATTCGGAATGTCTATCTAGATAGATACGAGATTGAAATAAATTCAATCAACGCAACTTGTATTTGGCTTCTTAATACAGCTATGACACAAACGGAGTTAGCCTAGGTAATATATGGAGTTAAATGGAAGAATTATGTTCACAGCATCATCGTACGATCAAACCGGAGTCAGATACACGGTCCACAAAATATATGTAACAATAGCAGAGAGACTATTACTTACGCAAAATGCCTTAAAATGAGTGCTCGTGAACAATTCGTACGTGATATCCCGGAAATCATCAATGTTTTATCTGACTATGAAAATGAAAAAAAATACGTATAGCCGTTTTACAGACAACTTTTTAAGTGAAAGAAAATTATGGATTATGTAAACAAACAAGAAAACCTAAAAGAAATTATATGAAGTGCCACCTGGAATCTAAAGATATCACTGATAATTATATTTTAAAAAACATGGTTTCAATTGCATTGATAAAACGCTGTTTGCAAATGTTACTGTTTTCCTGTAGTTTATAATCAATACTATATGTCTTAGTTGATCTATGTGCAAACTGAACGGACAGCTTGAAATTATAATTTCATTAAAGTTTTCTTTATATATTCAAAACCCAAGATAAGCATTTTATCCTACTTAGAACTTTTCAGCTAAATACATGTTGAATAAATGGATGCCTGACTGGTTTCACTCGTCTAGTAGGTAACACATTGATAGGTACAGGGTTCGAGTCTGGGGACTAACATCAATACAAGGAATGAAAGCGTATATAGCTAAGTTTTAAATTGGGTGGAAGGTGAGTCCCAGATTTCCTTGCTATCCACAATCTAAATATATTTGTAAATTGATGTGTCAAACATATAATTATAATTTCAGCCCAAACTTTGTTATGAGTTTTAGAAAATGTTTAGCATGCAATGTGGAATTCAAATGTATTTATCAAGAAGATATATATATATAAATTGCTACTCCCTATAACAATTACAGTAAACATCGTATAGAATTACTTAAGGTACTGTTGAAGGAAGATGTATTGATGAATTGATAGGAAAACAAATACGCTCCCCTTCAACATCTGTCACTGAAAAATGATAAAGATCAACAAGACAACTCACGAAATTCGGTGTTCGAGTCGACTCTCGACGAAATTGCCTCGAGAAATGTTGCATTAAAAAAAATGCCAACAGGAAAAATCCAATGCCAAAAATTGTATGCACCCATAGACTAGATGAATTAGACGATATATTTGATATGGTCGTAACACCGAATTTCTGTAAGTCAGGAGCTAAAAATTTTGTTTTTCGAAATTAATAACAAAAATTATTTATATCGTACGTTCATACTACTTATTTGAAAGGGTAATAGAACTAAGAAATAACATAAGGTTTTACACTGATTAATAGAATTCAATTCAGTGCTAAGGACTAGAATAAGTATAACACTGATTCTTACTTAATCAGTAATCAATGTAGATAAATCAATGCTGATAGAGATTTGATCATGACCCAAATATCTCAGTGACAACGTTACAAACTGTGAAGTTAGATGGGTTCAACTCTTACAGGGAGAATCAGTTACCTTAAGATTCCAGATACTCTTTTCCGACAAGTGTCAAGTAATACGACACCAAAGTAGAACAGAATTTCCTAATGAACACCTTCAACCAACTAAAATCAGGTCATCTGTGTCATAAATTGGCATTATTTAGGTCAGTATTTTTGGTAACAATTTAATATAGACTTCGTTCAATTTGACAAGTGTGAACATTCGTTCAATGTGAAAATCATATTCCCTATATTAATTCAGTTTTTCGGAGTAATTATATGTAATTTCCCTTATATGTGATATTGTTTTGTGTAAGTATTAGTCATATAAATGAGTATATTTTGGTCCAAGGATGATGTAACTTTGCGATTTGTTTGGGGACGTGTCTTTGGAGAGACAATCTTTATTGTAGCAGTCTTTTATGTCCTTACTTTGTGTCATAGGAATTCGAGTGGTTATTGAATAGTCGAATGTAAACAGTAAGACCGTGGACTCAACAGAGTAGATATGTACATAACAGTAACACGCCTGGGTATATAAACAAAGATGAAACGCCAGACATAATACAAATGAACTGTAATGTCCCAACAACTGAACAATCAAAAAATACTAATATGAATTCACCAATTATTCCACGATTCTTAATTCAGGGTGAACACAGTCAATTATTAACAGAAATGCTAATAATATATACATTTTAATGTACTTAGTTTGCTCCTCCAATCGATCCCCCCTCCCAAAATAAACAACTATTATCTAAATATTAAAACGAATATTTCGTTGCTTAGTGTTTTTTCTACATGAAATTCACAAGAAATGAAATCGAGGAAATTACGGATTATGATGCATATATATACTTATACATTTTCAACACCAAACACCCACTGAATAAAGCACTTATACATATGATAATGATAATAATAATGACATGATCAGCCGATCAGAAGTGCCCTGAAGGTCAAGTGCATATCATTGGTTAGGAAATGGATTGATTTCCCAAGGGGTATATATATATTATATATATATATATCAGTTAAGAGGTTAGCACATAGCACGCAGTATATCAGTATCAGATTTCGTACGCCGCCTATCACAACAGTTATCAGAAATAGTATTACTGTTTTTATCGCTAATAATACTATCAGAAATAGTATAGTGATATACTTAGCCGTAGAAATAATAATAGAACAGTGAACATGTACAGAAATAAGCTTAATAGAACAGAAGGTTGTTTAATTCTCCAGAACCATGAAACTGGACTGACCACCCACAACAAACAGTCACTTATGAATACATATCACACACCAGTACAGACATACATAAAGAAAGACAAAAACAGAGGTAGATAGCGTGCCATTATTCAATACCTCAAATCAACGTAACGAACGAAAGGACAAACTGAAGACGACAAAAAGCAAAATCATAAAAAAACTAAATATAGGAAGAAATATAATCAGAAAATGAAAATTACAATCAGTAGATGAAAGCATAAGGTAATATTAAAGATAAAGAATGAATGAATAAATCTGTCTCCTATAGACCAATAACTTTGCACGATCTCCCAGTAAAGCAAACTATCCATGTTCTGTGCATATGAAGGTTGAGTTTCACAGTAATAAATTAACAAATAGCCAAATTCTATGTCTCATACTCCCTCCGTTTTACATGAGGATCACGAATACTTTTCTGAACCAAAGTTGACTAAGGTTGATAAAGGTAAGTCGATTTTTCTGTGTCCATGAAGAGAGGGAGTTAGTTGAGGAATCAACAGGCTGATGAAACTACCAGAAGAGGTGAATTACTATAAAAAACTACTTGGAGGCGTACTGCTGACAGGTCCAGTATTTTAACTGCTCTTTTTTCCTGATGAATACCATCTCTGTTAACTATCATTCAGCATTAATTTTCACAATAATTACGATTCCACCATTGATTTCATGCTTTTTCAGTCATTATTTACTGATGACACGCTCAAAAGAGTATAACAAGTAAACCAAATAGTAGTAATGTGGTGTATGCTATTTAAATTGACAGATATAAGTAGTGTGACACCAATCAGAAGTGGAACGCATGACAACAGAAGATTGAATAGGTCGAACTGCAGAGGACAAGAATGTAAACAAAGAGCAATTGTAAAAACAACAAGACTGAAAGAACGATAAAGATTGTACAGGACAATTGATGGAAGATGTGTAAATAGAGTATTTAATGTATGGTTTTTATATTTTGTGATGATACTGTAATTTTGCATTAAGTAATAAATTGGTCTTCCCCAAATGTATGTTCTTGCACTACTGTAGTAGTAATTCACAGAAGCCCATTTCACTTATAAAATTATCACAAGGATGAATAAAGTAGATCAAAAAACACATAGATGTATATATTAAAATATCAAATAAAATTTTGAATGCTTACATTTTAGTGTACCATGTATATTTACTGGAAGTATAACAACCAAACAGAAAACTGTAGTGATTGCTGTATAAATAATTAAATAGAAATGAAATCTAAGATATTGAACAGCATCATTTCCTGCTTTTAATTGTAAATCTGCCGATCTGTAGAAAATTAATACAGAAAAAGAACAAAACAATAAAAGAATTCTGGAATTACGACTCAGCTAAACAGTTTTATGAAGACTTTGTATGAGCTGAAAGTATAGTGTCCATATAGGGGAAGAACGTCGAAGGTGACAGAGACTCACTTTAGGTTGAACGATTTCCGAAAATTCCTTAGCTTAACGCTATTTTACGAAAGGAATGTGTAAGGATTTATTATTTTCATTAAAAAATTAAGGATACTGAAATTGATTTCACATCTGAAAGGTGTTTACTCTATTGAATCATCACCAAATCAGTTTGTATTATGTATATTCAACCACCATCTACCTCGATGAACGAGTTTAGATTGTGTAGGAATAAATTGGAAGAAACCGAGAGGCATTTAAACCAGGACATGGGTTCAGCCAAGTTATCGACTGATGATTAGAGTCATGATGGTAGGTGCAGATTATATATATATTCGGAAAATATTGTTTCTCGTGGGATACTTACCAGGCTTTACTCTAATGTACAATGATGTTTATATGCATGCATTAAATATATCATAAACCAATCAAGGATTTTTCGCTCAGTCAACCATACGCAACGTAGAAGGCACATATGCGCATTGATTTACGTTGCCGTACGACATTAGCACAGTGAGATAAAACTATCAAGACAAATTCAGGAGTAGCAGAAGTGATAACAATATCGGTGTTAATAGAGAAATTCACACGTAGAAAGAAAAGAAAGTATGAGATTTTGAAACCCATGATCTATGAAAAGATATGGAGTGAATACACCTATACCATTGAGAACGATTCTGAGCTATGTCATCTAAAGTCTCTAGCCATTAGTTACGATAATCACCCTGACCCCAATCAGATAGTCTACATCTACTTACACGGCTCAGACTAATTACCAGTGAATTTATGCACATGTGCTACATCTTGGTTTGAGTGAATCCTCGTTTCCCCAAATTACTTCTACACTAGACAGTATCACCCGTCGAGGTAAGCAGTAGTTAGATATACGAAAGTTTACTACCTCATCAGCTGATCTGCCATATTTAACTAGTACCCTATGGGAAACCTCGGCATCACTCCCTCTGTGGTCTCAAAAAATTTACAAGCAATACCTCGAAGACGCATATGTCGAATACTAATGATCTTTGGATATCGCCTATTCTTAATTGCTATGTTTAACACTCAGAAAGCAAAACAGAGCAAATTGTTACACAGTGAACTCGTCTTTTGGTTAACAGACAGATATCTTGCCTACGCAGTTAATTAATCAATAGTATTAATGAAATCGGTTACATAACTAAAAATATTAACTAAAAAATATAAGTTGATAGTAAGATGAAACACGTAATAATGATAATATTTATTTTTTATTTATTTTATTTTAACACACAGATATTGGTACAAGGAGGCACCAAATATATATGCGCCACAAAAATCTCATTTGATATGTGTGAGGGCTATGATACTGCCCGGGTGCCCAAACCGAAGCAGGTGGTTTTCTTAGGTGGCCACTCCCTGGGCCTTCGACCTGAAGATCTGATCCACAAGGCAGTGGAGCATCGTAAGGAGATGCAGTCCCATGGTATCCGGTGATCAATAATTGGTTCATACGCCATTTGTTCCCTCAGGGTACTGGAGCCCATGTTCACCATTAGTTTGGAATCAGTGTTTTCCAACTCCTCTAGGTAGACTCTCCATGTCCAACAAACCCAGTTAAAGCGCTGGACATTCGCTTTTATTCCTCTCAATTTCGTAAAAAAACATCCTCGCCACGGGAAGGCAGTGACTATTATTATCATTAATGATAATAAGAATAACAAAACTCTGAATCAATGTTTCAATGAAGGAAGTTAAAACTTTTTCACTAACTATGTTTAGTAATGTCATCTATTTCATTACTATCATTAACTTACAAACTGCCTTCATTGGTTTAATAAGTTCATATATACATACAAATATTTATTAAAATCTAAGATAAAGATCTAATTGGAAACAATATTATTTGCTTATTTATATGTTGTTCTAATTATCACAATGGAAATCTTTTTATATTTGAAAAAGAATATAACGAATTAGAGAGTAAGTAACTAATTAGATGAAGGGTAGAAAGGAGCCCATTCCAAGTATTGAAAAAAACATATCATGTGTTAATCAGTAGTGTATGTTATAGCTAACAGTATAAAACGAGATGTCATTTTTCACAATCAATTTAAAAAGCGTATATTCACTCTTCGTGTTATATGTAATAGATCCATAAAATCAGATAATATTGTACTATCATAAGAATAAGTATATGATTAAGTAAACAGAAATGTCGGAAAATCAATAATGATTTATCATCAGCATAATATTTGTTGATCTAAATATATCTGTATTCCATTACTTTACATGCATTTTGGGGGGAATGTAAAGTGTACATCTGTTTACACTTCACTACACTAATGTCTTGACTATAATAGAAGTTTAATGATCAATTATATATGTGTATTATCGATCAAACCTATAGTAGTGATATTATTTCTGATGATTGGATCTAATTTTTATGAGTACCATAACATGAGCGTAATATACTCAAAGGAAATTTGTAATACCTTTGCTAAGTTTGAAGCGGTTACGAGTTTATTTAGATTGCGAACGGGAAAAAGACTTGTGACCAAAGACCAATAAACTAGCTATTCTATTGCGTCCCAGCCCCACTAACAAGAAAGAGAAGTCGAAGTCCGAACGGAGAAGTATATTCCACAAAAGCTAGAAGCACGAGCGAGCGATAACAACAGACACAAATCAAACGTATATATACAGCATAAAACTGTCGTTGGAAAGCGTTACAAAATAGCATACTAAAATACACAACGGACCAATAGTGTTAAAGATTCTCCGAAGTAGGAAATACGATATGATGGTGAAAAGAGAGTGTAGTGGCTGTGCTTCTATAATTAATCACCCTCGAACCGTTATCGTATAATCTTCAACGATGTTTGAAATCAGAAGGCAAAGAGAAGCAGCTACTACAGTTTATTTAGTAGATAATTCGGACCAGACAGCAGAGAGGCAAAATGAATGAGCAAGCGAACTACGATTGTAACAGTAGCAAGTAGCTGTGGTAGTAGTAGTAGTTGTTGTTGTTGTTGTAGTAAATGGGTGCAAATGTACACATATATATATGTATAGGAAAATGGATGAGTCAGCGAATAGATTAAGCAGTTAATAATGAAGCTAGCAGAATGAATACATGCGTAGGCGCTAAACAATGTTCAAGCGTATGTATTTCATACAAGCATTAATAATAAAGATAGTACAACAAGTTGTTATATCATGGATGACTTTGTCCACTAAATAAGTTAACAAAAAGGGCTTAACTGGGTTAAATGAAAATAAACCCATTAGCACGTGAGTCGCTATAATAGCTCCCCCCTGCAAACAAAGATATATGGAAAAATGTCTGTGTTTGCACAAAAAAATAGTAAACTGAGCAGGGTAGTTACAATCGTTTGAAACAAAATGGTTTGTACAAAATTAAGATGAAGTTGGTGTGTGCTGTACATTTGATTTGCGCCTGTCCGTGAGGTTACATAAAATAATAGCAAGAAATAGAAGGAATGTGGTACTGTCTTTACATTTTAAACAAAAATTATACGCATAAGTGTAAGGGTACATAAGATACGTTGAGTTTTATCGCGCATAACATGAGCTTAATAATGCATGCGTATACGATGAGGTAGAAGTTATAATTAATATTTAAAATAGTAGATTATTATTAATAGAAAATTGTAGCGACATAATGTTGGGGCCATCTTACTCTGCGGCCGGATCTTGTTGTTATCGGAGTCTTGTCTTTTTGTTGCGTTAACGTTGTTGATTTTTGGGATTCGTGTTTCGCTGGTATGACCATCTTAGAGGAGTCTGTACTTGTTGATTGAATATCGCTATCGATAAAAGCTGGCTTTACTCGATCGATGCTAATTACATCTGTCTTCCCAGCTTTTTCTATGGTAACCGTTTTATTTGTCCTCTCTATCACTTTAAATGGTCCGTCGTAAGTCGGTTGAAGAGGTGGTTGTATTTTATCTCTTCTGATGAATACGTGAGAGCTGTTATGCAGTTCCTGTGGTATGAATACCCGTCGTTGTTGTGGTCTGGGAGGTGTTATTTTTAAATCGCTCATGTGCTTTCTCAGGCGTTGCACATAGCCGGTTACATCAGTCGGGACATTTTTACTTGAAATGAAGAATTCTCCGGGTAATCGTAGAGTAGTTCCGTAAACTAACTCGGCTGGACAACATCCCATGTCTTGTTTAATTGTTGCTCTTAGGGCTAACATTACTAGGGGAAGTTTATTAGACCAATCGTTGTTAGCGATGACGGCTGTAAGGGACGCTTTTAATTGCCTATGTAGGCGTTCAACCATTCCGTTGGCCATTGGATGGTACGACGTCGTTCGGATTCGTTTAATACCGAGGAGTTCAGTAAGCTGCTGAAAGAGTCGACTTTCGAATTGTGCTCCTCTATCCGTTGTGATAATCGTTGGTACACCGTAGTAAGAAATCCAATTTTCAACTAGGGTTTTAGCTACCGTTTCAGCTGAGGTGTCTTTTATCGGCACTGCTACAGGCCATCGTGTAAACCTATCGATGCATGTAAAGATATAGTTGTATCCATTTGAAACGGGCAGTGGTCCTACAATATCGATGTGTATATGTTCAAATCTAGTGTCTGGGTGCGAAAACGGACCTACTGCAGAGCTAGTATGACGATGTACCTTCACTTTTTGGCACTTCATGCATGCTTGTGTCCAATTACGTACATCGTGATTCATGTTTGTCCATACGAATCGTTCACTAATCAGCTTTATCGTGGCTTTTATTCCTGGGTGCGACATGTTGTGCATGCTTTCGAATATTTTGTGTCGCAACGTTTTCGGGATAAATGGTCGCGGTCGGCCTGTTGATGTATCGCAAATTACTTTCGTGTTACCAAACCGCACCTCTTCGA